CTATGCGTTTTATAACTATATCTATGTATATCAATGGATTTATGCTAAAATAAGTCAACCGGACTGAATCTTGACTGGTCGTGTACCTTGGATTTTACAGTTTTTAGTCAGCAAGAGTCGCCACTCCCTCCCGCCTCACCCGGGCGGGAGAAGACATTCGTGAATTTCCCCCCCTTAAAAAAAGCCTTAACTCACGTGAAAAAGGTTTTAGGTTCGATTACTAATAGAGTACACATTTTTTTTATTGCTATTAATAGCACGGAGTCTGGAATTGTACCCAGTGTACGGTAATGCTTATTCATAAGTCATATTATAACCGGTGCACATTGAACATTTACATTTCCGCATAACCCCTTCGGGGATTCACGGGCGTGACGTTGTGTAATATTATGATATTAATGACAACGTGGGTGTATCTTTACAAATACACCGTGTTAACGTACATTATATTACTGTTAGGTATTACACAACAAAACTGGCTGAAATTTCGATAATAGTAATTAATTAAATTATTTGTACCTAAATCCTATACATTATCACATGAAGAATTGATTAATAGATACCAAATCTGTTTTTTGGAACTTGACTCATTGGCATTGTATTATTTAAGTTGAAAATGAATTGTCATGTCTATATTGTATGCTACCATTTTCCTTAGCAATTGTACCTATTTGTGTACCGTATTGACTGACGATATACTTTGACCAACGTGAAGTAAGCTACAATCGTATAGTTGTCTCTGTCGCACACATGCTTTTCGCCTTATTAGCGTCCTACTCACTACGCCAACGCCTAACTTCGGAATAGTCAAGATCTGTCAACTCTTCTATATTTATACACAAACTGTGAAAAAGGCCATAAGTGACTCATGAAATACGTACGAAAAAAAATATTTGGTGCAGATTATCGGTGATTTTATCTTATCGGTTTGAACACTAGCATCGCTTTAGCTAACAAGTAGGCTACATAATAAGTCGTTTGTAAAAATAAATAACAGTTTAGTAACAGGGTCAGCGGCTGGGTGCACTCAAATAAATGTAAGTCTCATTTTATTTATATATAAAAACAATTTACGATCATACTATAAATGGGCAATTTTTCGAATAAACACTCAAAATGGAACAAATACCGAATAAATACTTATTATTTTTACTCGATTTATAAATTTTGAGTATTTATCCGAAGAATCACCCATTTCTACTAATCAACTACTATCAAAATTATATAACACTAGTGTAACAATATTAATTTGATAGTGTGTTTGTGTTTATAAAAAAAAAAGAATAATATGTTTTCAATAATAAAAAACTTTGTGAAAAATAATTCCATGAAAAGTCAAAGTCTAAGCATTTATTTCAATCAATTCTGAATTACGCACTTTTGAAACGTTAAATATTGAATTGTCCGTCCGTCTGTCTGTCAGTGAAGCTAGGCGTTCGTTTCAAAGTAGAATAAGATATACCTAATTACATAAGTGTCTTTGTGACAACAAAAAATAAATTATTTTGCAATTACTTCATTATCTTTTAATTTATTTTTCTATTTTTTTGGCGTGGCAAAGTATAAAACATAAATATATGTATGTGTGTTGGTATATGTCACCACACTGTACCCTTAAAGGAGTATCGTAACAGTCGACTAGAGGAGTAGGTACACAATAGATAGAAACTGGACGACAAATTCCGATCTCATTCAAGGAATTCCTCCCAGTGTAGTCCTGACTATCTACTGAGATAGGAAATACTTAAACTAGTTTTTATAAATATTAGCTAGTAAAAGTTTTGTAGTATATGTAGAGTTATCAGAAAAAGTTTTCAGCAGTACTTTCCTTATTATTTTCACCGTTAACTTCTGTTATTATCCGCGCATATTTATTTACGTAATACTCTGGTTTGAAATTGTTGAACAAAAATTCAATACAAACCGATTTAACTAATCTTATCAATTGGAACGTTTTTAAGATTTGCTATAGATTTGGGCCAAAGATACATACCTACTTCTTTTGTTAAGCTCCTACTTACTAGTGAGTACCTACCTAGTGAATACTTACTAATATTTTAAAATAATAATCTATTTCAGTATAACTATGTATACAAATATGAAATCCGTTTCCCATTGTCACGCCATAACTTGAGAACGGCGAGACCTATTGGGCTGATTTTTTTTATTTGTTGTATTAGTTATTATTAGGAAAAGGTTCTTAATATATAAAAAGTCCTGAAAATACTACGGGAACGGGAGAAAATGGGATTGCGCGTATAAAGTCGCGGGCAGCTAGTAAAATAAATAAATACAAGTTAAAAGAATCTGTCATCGTCATCATCAGAATAACAGGCCATGCTTGGATGCATGACAGGTCCATGCTTGGTAAGACGAGTTGGCGATCGTAGTTTAAAAGGTTCAAGTTAATCGGAGAGCGATGCTGCTGGTTACTATCTAGGGTATCTAGGGTATAGTCCATTTGTCCTTTAATTGGTTCTTAGAACATCTGTAGGGAGAGTAGGAGTGACAAAATGTAATGTCTTTACGAATTTGTATCGTGTAATAAATATTTCGTAAAAATAGAATTTTGCGTTCTTTCGAATAGGTACTGAGTTGCTATCACAGAGAGGTTTTGCTTTTCGGTGTCACGAAACAAAATCTTAAAGATTTTGATTGAAATTATTTCAATCGTTTTGAGTTAGCTAATCCTTTATGTTCTCTTTATCGTATTATCTTGACGATGAGATAATAACTTAGTATAAGCACCTAACCTATATTTAACTAGTACTCTATATGTATAATCAAGAATAATTAAATATGAAGAAATATCTAAACGACATGTTCATGCCTTTTCCAGATCATGGGAGATTGCTTCAGTTGCTGTTGTGGTAATAGCGGTGGAGGTGGAGTGACTGTAGTAGACCAGGCTTACAATAACGATGGAGGTTTCCAGCCACCACCACCAGATGGCGGTCAAGTAACTGATCACTCCATGGATATGATGAGATGACATGACTGAACAGAAAGATCCGAGCCACACAAGCCATGAAACTACCTAGCAACGACGCTGCGTATTCATCATTTAATTTATTGTAATTAAATTTATTTTTTAATGATTACTTTGAGAATTTTATTAAGTCTTTTGTCCATAATTTTAAACTATTAATTATTCTCCTTCTCGTTTACATAACATAACATCACGCCTTTTTATTCCCTAAGGGGTAGGCAGAGGTGTACATTACGGCGCTTAATGCCACTATATAGTGCAACGACCACTCTTCACTATTTATGTTATGAGTACCATGTAATAGGGGGTGAGCCTATTGCCATACTGCTACTATATTACTGTTCTCGTTTAAATTTTAAGTAATCCCTTCCTACTCACGTTTTCTAAGATCAGTAGTTTCTCCTTGTGTTCTGTTGATCATTCTTTTATTTACCAGTAACCTTTGACTATGTACGTATAAAATATTGCTATGCAATATTCTTCCTTAACGAGAAGTAAAGAAATCTCAATTTTATTAAGACAGGCATAATATGTCGGATATTAGGATGCAGGTATTGTGTCGAATCATGGTTGACAGATGGAATTAGTAGTTATCAAATCAAATGACATAAAATTGCATTACTTAATAATAGTAGCAATGTCGTTTGCTAATTTTATAGTAATGACGGATAATTAACGTTTTAACATCTTTTGTAAAATTACTTATTCAGTTTCCCGCTTTAATTTTGATCCATTTTGATATTATCCACGGTTTGGCATTCGTACAAGCATTGAAAGGTAGATGGCGTTACTGGTGTGCTGTTATTGTAATTAAATATTATTATTAATCAGAATTTCATGATAACATATTAGCTTTGTTTAACTTTAAAGTTACTGAAAATCTGTTTTTATAATTTCTAAACTGTTTATTAGCAGCACACCCCAGTTTCACCCAGGTTCTATTTTCCGATGTTCGCTGTGAATTTGTTTATGTAAATACTACATTTACAGTTTGAAAAACCAAAGAGACTCTTTATTTTTTGTAAGTTTTGGTAATCAGGAGGAATGGACATAATCTATACAGATAGGTATATAAAATTGGAGTGTCTGTTTGTAATATTGAAATTTAACCGCTTTTAAATAACTACATCCGTATGAATGTAGGTACATATGATACCTATACCAAAATAACAAACTACGCGGACGAAGTCGCAGGCAACAGCTCGTTATTTAGTAAGGTCAAACTCAATAACCGGATCACCTAAAACCTAAAATAAAAACAAATGACACGTCAATGACGTCAGACCGAAAATAACGAGGGTAGAAATATCTCGTGTTCTCCTTCTAAATCCAAATTATTGCCGCCTTTAGAATAGCACGAAATAAAAACAAATGACACGGCAATGACTTCAGACCAAAAATGACAAGGGTAGAAATATGTTGTGATCTCTTTCTAAATCCAAATTATTGCCGCCTTTAAAACAAAAAAAAAAATAAATGACAGGAACATATCGAGTTCTTTTTTTAAATCCAAAGTAGTACGAATTATGTTATTTGTATTTTTATTTAGGTACAACAATAGTTTAATATTCTTCGCATATTTACAAAATCCTTTGAGACAAATAAATTCTTAGTTAAAAACTAAAACACAATTTTTATCGTATGATCTTAATAACGGAAGAAATTGACATATAATGAGCTCAAACTCATTTAGTTTTTTGCCACCTTTGAAGACCAACAAACTAATAAACCAGAAAAAAATAACGGTCCACTGGGCCTTTGTGTCTTATCGGAAGTATGTGTCAACCAGTAAAAAAACATTTTTAGGTGCATTTTTCATATTTAATTCACCAAATAAAAATAAAATCGAATTCCATTCATCAATTAAATTATACTCTAAAAATCTTCACAGGCGATAATAAAATTAGTGCTGGATATATAATCGAGATTGTCTTGTCTTTACATTTTTTGAATGATACTAAAGTATTAAAAATGTAACAGTTATACATATTTATGTTTTTTCTTTGGCGTTTCAACCGACAATTCTGCAGAGTACGTCGTAAGATTTGTGTGCAACTTCACCGCCGTTGAACGAAATGTAGCAACATCCATGACTAGGGTGCACCTGAAATAATAAAAAAAACACATAAATATCCATTCATTCATGGACAACTTTAGAAAACATAAAACGAAGGAGTACTTAAACCATAACGGTGGTCTTGCACCAAATCTGTTTTGTGCTGTCATTCATCCTACTTAAATAATTCATATCATTTTCATATTCATGTCCTTAATAAGAATTTAGAACTACTTGGTACAAGTTCATATAAAGATTTAGTGTTGATCCTGAGATTTACTGTTTTTATCTTCATGACCACTAGAACTCTTTATAAGATTTGGCGGCAAACGAATACATCACCTGACGGTAAGCAATTAAGGCCACCTAAGGTCACTCGCAATACTACCCTTTTAGCATAGGCATGTTGTCAGCGTCTCTTTTCTAATTCTTCTGTTTCAATTTTTCAACTCTTATATTTTTATTACTTCCACTGTCACATCTTGATTGTCTTTTATTATTTTTTATTTATGCTGCATCGTGCCTGGTGCTAAATAAATGTTTTTTCTTTCTTTCTTTCTTTCTTTCTTTCTTTCTTCTTTCTTACTAGAGGAGTAAAGGACAAGTATATTGTTTAAATGACTTACTTTGCCGGGTGTGATAGATCCCATGTGTGTAACACGTCCAATGTACAGAGGTTCGCCGCTGTGGGTGTTGCCAGCGGGAATAGCTCCTACTGGGACCTGGCCGTTGCTGCTGGGCAACCAGCGGACAGCGTGAGATGAAGCACACAGCACCTGAAGATTAAACAGAAATCTTGTTATGCATCTGTTTTTTCTCGAAAATATTAAACACAAACTCAAAAGCATTTATTTCAATTAAACTGTATTTTGGTACTTTTGAAATGTTACCAAATATAAAATAACTAATAGTCTGTCAGTCTGTCCGTCAGTGAAGCTAGGCGTTTGTTACAAAATGTAGATTCGAGTGGAGAAGAACGAGCAAGAAACTCCATTCGTTACGCCAACATCAGTCAGTGTGTTTATCGTAAACTTATCAATTTATCATCTTGATGATGATCTATAATATCTATCAGTACTTGAATCTGTAGAAAGTATCCATCAACATCATCATCCGTAATAAGTCCACTACTGGTAGGTATCTACAATAAACTTTACTAAGAAAGTGAAAATAAACATGATTGTTAATCATGTTGATAATATCAAGATGACGTCAACAAATCGTTTATAAGAAGAATAAGGAAAATGCTACTGAAAATTAATCAATGACGAATTTGCAGAAATAATAATAAAGTATGTTTTTAATGATTAATGGATTTAACTTAGATCCATTTATTAAACTGTCAAACACCAAGCGGTCACCGGTGACCGCGACCTATTGTTCTTTAATTGTGTCTATAAAACCGGTACTCGACGAGTTAAGAAGCAGAGATTAGACTTACTTCAAAGTTGTGGACAGGAACTTCTCGACCTGCATGTGGGATGTAGGCGACCTGGTGTTTGATGGCCAGCTTTCCTGGGACGAACTCTCCACTATGGTGTGCCCTAATCACACAAAGAGGGCTACCATCCCAACCTTCTCTGCCTGCTACGAAAGCTCTGTGCCTCAGTATACCCACTTCAGGTCCTGTACTGGGTACCCATTCAATTGTATCTGTAATAAAATAGTGTCATACTGGCCTGAACATTTTCAAAACAAATTACGTAGAAGAAATCGTAGAATACATTTCTTAGAAGATGTTGAATCCACGCATCTAACCACTAACTACAAAGCGAAAGCAAAAGTTAATAAGAATCAAAAATTGTTTAGATACTAAATATGTGTAAAAGTAACTCATTGCTACGGCTTAACCTATGAACTAATTCATAGATTGTGTTCTTACTAGTAATTTTCTTTTTTTTTTCCTGCATCTTAAGTTCAAGCAGGGACAAGCCTTTTCCAACTGTAGATATTCCCATCTCAGCAGTGGACAGTAAATTAGCCCATGGATTACTTGGTTGTGGCTGAATTCTGATTTCTGTAAATATAAGTACCATATTGTCTAAATATATTTATTTAAAAAGTTTATGGGACCTATTATTGCGCCCTGTGGAACCCCTCCCTTTAAGGGTTGATAATCTTTCTAACGAATCTAAAATTCACTCAAACAGTTGTCATAGTATATCCTGTTCATTAATACATACATACTTTACAACAAACAATTTGTCTATTAATCGCTAAATCGATTGTAGGTTCTTTTGTCACTCATTATTTGTCTTATCTTCATATTGGTAAGCCGATTCCACGAACAAGATTAGAGGGCTTAATGGTTGTGATAAGTATTGTAAGTGATGTGCGCAATTACGCCCTTATTGAACTCAAGTGGGTGGTAGGTACCTAACTTGAGAATGATGGTAGAAAGTACTGTATTGTAATAATCATACGCACCTTCAACAATGGTGACTGGTGTAGGTTGTGGTGGTGGAGGTGGCTGGTGGTAGATGTAGTTGGTGACGACGGTTGGTGGTGGGACTGGTTCTGGCGGGGGTGGTGGTGGAGGTGGTTGGTACACTGGCATCATTACTGGAGTCGGGACGTAAGTAAATCCACCAGGAGGAGGTGGTCCACCATAGGGTGGTTGGCCGTGTGGATCTATAAATTTCAAGATTTACATGCTTTAAACTGTTAGGATAGGTTCGTGTCATTATACAAGTTACTTACACATAGTTAGCAACTGAATAATATTTAGAAATTGTAAAAAGAAATCAATTAGGTATATTAGATTAATATTCTACTCTTTCTTTAACTAGATATGTTAATGATAAACAAAAAACATTAACCTCATTACAACAGGAAAACTTTTGTAATAATCTATTCTAGAACGTACGTTACACAACAAAAATGTTCCATCACAAATCGATATAACAAATCAAAGGTACATCAAAACAAATGAAGAGAAGTAGAGAAGTAAGTTTAAATAATGACTGTAACTTACGCTGAGACATGGTTTTAATTTTTTAATTAATAAACAAGACACAGAACTGTTTGTCACAGGTGATTGAAAACTCACTGGACACGAAAGGTGTTAATCATTTATTTGTACCTATCATCTGATTCACAACGTTATCATATCTGTAACAGTTGAACGCAGTTTTTGATTAGATAAATAATACTTCGAACACAAAAAAAATGTTGAGTATATTGGTATTTTATTGCAATTACCGGATGTATCTATGAATGCTAAGGAAAATGACTGATTCAATCTACGTCAGGTAGCTAAATTCGAGTCGTTTCTTGAAAAGCATTACAGGAAAATTGATGTATCTTAATCCGGATAAAGATATTATGTCACAAAGAGAATGTGCATAATTATGTAGGCACTGACTGTTCTTTAAAGATCCTGTACACTGCCAGATAATGATTTGATGTTTATTTATTTATTTAATATGTTTCATGCACAAAGTGTACAATAGGTGTACTTAATGCCGCAGGCATTTTCTCCTAGTCTGACCTTTGGGTGACGCAGAGAAGAGTAAATATTTAGGTCCTTACCCCTAAATATTTATTTAAGATTCATTTTCGCTTTGTTCAGTTCAGTTGATTTTAAATCAAAACTGAACATTGAGTATCAATTTACTCTATCTGAGCCAATATCCAGAAAATACGTCACATACAAAATTTTAGTTTATATTTTTTTAAACTTTCTACTCCTAGGGCCTAGTTGTCTAGCCTCTATAGTATACTCTAGCCTTCTAATCATATTCAAATACAAAAATCATACAAACAAAATAACAACAATTACCGTTGTTACTAGGCGAAGGAAAGAAAGAAACAAACAAATGGTATTTATAATAGTAAATAACTTCTCGGTAGTAGAAAACTACGGGACGATCTAGTCTCGAAAAAAAAAATTACTTGTCAAATCGAAAATCCACTTTAGACTTAGTGAGATGATCAAAATATTTTTTTATGACGTTATATTTTAAAAAATATTACGATTAGGTTATTAGTAAAATGTACCTATTAGCGTCATCTATTCGAATATACATGAACTTTTTAGAAAGTTATTGTGTTAGATTGTTTGTGATAAGATTACAAAAAAAAACAGCTACGTATATAATATGCCGAGTTCTTCTAAATATCTCTTGTTGATCTCGAAATAACAAGTTCGAATGTTGTGTAGGTATTGTACGTTCGATACGCAAACCGGGTTAATGAAACTTTAATTTCGTGTAAGAAAAAAATGTAACATTATTTCATAGATCGTAAAAAAAGGTACATACATACTTATAATACTTATAACAAGAACTAGTAAAGGTTCTACGAATTTTATTCAATCAAAACCTTGTGGGACTTAGTCCTATAATTATGTACACGTTACATTTTAATTTGGAACACAAAATAATTTAAAACATGGTTCATGGCCATCATTAATAAAAGTCATTACGTGAAAAGCTATAGAACGTTCATTTTCTTTTAAGTAATAATCCATGTTCATATTTTTGTAATCACATTTTGAAATGATTTTAATATCTAGTAGTGTAATTAATGTATTGGAAAAATAACTAGTTCACTATTCCCTACTACGTTTACTTCAGCGTTTTTCTACATTTGTATCAGTGTCTTCTGAGTGGAAACATGTTCTACCGTCATTTTCGCCCTTTTACCATCATTTGCAATATTTTTGGCTTACCAAAGCCCATAGTAACTTCTGATGGAAACTCCATCAAGATTAACACGTGGCTTAAGATTTGGTCTTTGTTATTTGCAGCAGCTTTAATCAGTAGCTACGCATTCTTACGCGATAGACTTCTCAGATTTGACGTCAAAAGAGATCTAGGAATTATCCCTGATATCACTGATTTGTTCGTGAACGTTATTATTATAATCATTAATCTTGTTAACAGTGAAACCATTTCCATTAACATTCATGAAGTACTGGATGATATTTTTAAACATTTGAACATCACCAGCTATGTCCTAGAGTTGTTCGCTTACAAAATGTACTTGTGGTATTTCACAGCAATGATCATGTTTATCATTTTGATTGTCCTAGAGATATTAAATGACTTTCCTCCATTTATTCTCTTGATAAGAATACCAACGTTCCTATCACTATTACATTTAATCATGCATTTGTATTTATTGTCAGCGCTTCTGAAGGTGATAAATCACCAACTTTCAAGAACACTAATTGAGGATAATGTTCCTAAAATTATATCAACTGATAAAATTGAAACGAAATACATCTTTAAGTACGTATTAAATCCAAATATTGAATTTATTGTAATAAATAACATTGTACACCTTGATTTAAAATGTCTTTGTAAACTGTATGATAGACTAAGCATTTGCATTCATCTTTTGGAAAAATGCTATGGTTTGCAGGTAAGATTTGATACTGTTTTTATTAGATGTAAGTACTTTTAACTCTGAACACGTGATAATTACTTGAAAATCAAGATTAGTAATCAAAACCTGTATAAATATACACTTAAGAAACTGATATAGTATCTACTTGAATTTCAAGTACAATATCCCTTAATGAAGAACTGAAATGTTCCACCTCACACCAGTGTATGTGTGGTGTGTCACACCCTGAGTTTCGACTCTTTAACTTTTTACTTGGGATAATATAATATTTTAATTTAATTGTCGTCGGATTGCTAAACTTTGATACATCATCATACTGTATAGACTTTGTTTTTGGTAGCGAATACCAACTGCGAGTTCTAAAAAAAAAACTTAATAGGATTAATCGGACTGATGTCGGATAGTATTCCAGAAATAGATTTCTGATGATGTATCTGAGGTATAGACAACAAAGACAGAAAAGAAAAAAAATTGTGATTTATGACGATTTTTCATTGAAATTCTATCTTTTCATGAGTGCTACAATAATTGTAATGTTTACATCAGCCACATCAATATTGTCTTCCTCATTGCAGATTTTCTTATCGATCTGGTTAATGTTCACAAGTGATGATGTATCTGAGGTATAGACAACAACGACAGAAAAGAAAAAAATTGTGATTTATGACGATTTTTCTGTTTTTGTACAGCTGCTTACGGCATCCGTAAATTCTATCTTTTCATGAGTGCTACAATAATTGTAATGTTTACATCAGCCACATGAATATTGTCTTCCTTATTGCAGATTTTCTTATCGATCTGGTTAATGTTCACAAGTGGAGTGGTTGGCGTGACAGTGATCGTGACCAATCAGGTAGTACTTGGAATTAGCATGTGACACTTCCTGAAGTGATGCTTGATTAGAAATATATGTCCGGGTTCGTCCCTCTTTGCAGTAATTCTATGTATGTTTGTTCGGTTTATGACCCAGTCTTATCCCCGAATACTGAGACGACACTCAATTCTAAATCGCGGTTAAGTATAGTTCAGTCATTAAAAACTCTTTGTCATATTTAAGTACAACTTAAAATTGAGTAGCCTTTCGGTATTCGGGCGTTAGAAAAATAATTGTAAGGTTCAAGTTTGACGTAAATAACTTCAGTTTGTATGGATAATGAATTTAAAGAAGACATTCAACTAATGAAATAATGAAGGATGGATGGATAATGGAGATCAGATCGAAAATTATGCGAATATTTAAAACCAATATTTAACGTAGAAATTTGTAAAGGTACATTACGTCATTAATATAAAATATTTAAAAGGAACAATGTCCAAAATGAGGAAACTGATCTTACATAGGTATCGTAGAAACAAAGGCCTGTCACTGAAATAACAGTGTGGTAGCATTTCATAAGATTGCAGTCATGGTCTGTTTGATAAAAGTTATTACGACGTTGAAGTGAATCAAACGTTACTTATTTGTAAACAATAGTGATCTCATTGAGTTCTATTTTTAAACTACATCATTCGAATTACGACTTAAACGAGCAGTATCACACTGTTGAAAGTAGGCACTATAGATTTGTAATACATTTGTTGTCCAGAGACAATCAGTCATAAAGTATGAATATGTTTATTATTAATCGTCACAATCATCATCAGCTAGAACAACATCTACTACTGTAAAAAAAGTATTCTAAATTAATTATTATATATTTTGGATTACTTACATAATTATTTAACTAGTTTCAAATCATATTAGAGGTCCTACAGTAACTGTAGCAGCGTTACAGTCGCCGCGTCGCGGGCCGCGGAATGCTGCTCACAAATATGAGCCTCTAGCATGACTTGAAACTAGTCGAGTTTCTCGTTAATAATTACGAGAGTAAGCCAAAAAAACATAATAATTAATTTAGTATGCAACACGAAAGTTATAATATAAAAAAGTATTATTTCCTTTTAAGTAGAAAATTATGCTCCTATAAGATATAGACACTCACTACACTAACAAACTTCTCATTGCTCACATTAAAGCATAATGTGATTTAATATTTTTTATAATTATGGATATGAAATAGATTAGATGGGAACAAGACATTTGCTCACGCTACGTTTCTTTTTTAATATGGATGCCCTTCTGGGTATGCACACAGACGTACATAATCTTAACTTAAACACAGCTTCTAGGAAATAAACTGAGTGATCCTGTGGTTCTAATTTTCAATCTATTAATTAATAGGTAATGCAAATAATTTTGTTTTTGAAGTCCGTTTTCATGTTATAAATAGCTTCCTTTGTATTAATTTTCAGGCCACTCTAAAATGGTTAGTGATCATTAAAAGCATTCTGCCTTTCTACTGGTGTTTCCTTGGATGCTATATAGACGACCAAATGAACAAAGAAGTTGATCGAACTATTACTATGATTGTCAAGTGTCTCATAGACTTCAAATGCGGTATGTATTATTTTTATTTTTGTAAAATTGCTATCAAAACTAAGCTATACAATATAGAGAAAAGTAGCTCCATTTGCAACAAGGATCTTAAAACAGCTATTTGATTTCTCGAAATACTTATATATTCGACTTCAATTTTAACCTACATTTCAAACCATCGACTAAATAACGTATTCTTTTCATTTCAGTGCAGTCAAAAAAGGCAATTTTGGAAACGTTCAAGGAGCTAGTCAGTAACGACCGTCTTCAGTTCACCGCCTGCAGCTTATTTAAATTGAGCTATTCCATGTTACTTGGAACCATGCTTAACGTTATAACGTACAGCATAATTTTGATACAGATGATTTAGAATAATATAATAGGAAAATGTAGTAACTGAAATAAAAAGGCTTTGTATAAGTTAAATAAAAATCTAATCCATTTCCCAGAAGCGGAATAAATATAGAGAGCGCCCTAGGTCAGCATGAGCTCCTCATAGGCACTCCTAGTTTTTTTGTCATCGCTGTCACTCTAATGGGCATGCGTGTCTCACCGGACTTCAGTGTTCCGGTGTTTTCATGGTTGTATCTATATCTGGCTTCTGGCGGTTTTGGGAGGCTGTACCGCACTTGTTCCAGAAAAAAAATGCGTGTCTCATAGTGTCGCGGTACCCCTCTGCCTAGGCCACCTTGCGCCCTAGACACTTGCCTAGTTTGTCTTAGTGATAATATGGCTCTGCCACTTCCTACAATAAACCTAACATAAACATGATGTGTTAGCAAAGATCTCATGTAGGTAGTATTGTGCTTTCTTTTTAATTTCAATTTGACTTTGGTTAGTTTCGTATTACAATTTATTTTATATTTTGGTTTTCTACATTCTCTTATGTTTCTTCTCCTGTATAAGATATCATTTCTCGCTCATTTTATTCATATTTTTTTAGCCCATTCTTTCCTTTAGAAGTAATTGTGACTTATATCCATTCCTAAAGCATTTGGATTCTTTGTAACCTATTGTATCACGAGATTCTTATTAAAATACCTGTAACTATTGATATCTTGAATATACCTCTGTTTTCAGACCTTGTTAAAAGTAGGTTATTCTTTATCAAACCTAATCTACTAAAATATCCATCGACGGCTCAATTTTAAGATCGGGTACTGTGACTTAGATACCATTTTGCTTTCTTGGTCAGATAGGGTTTGAATTGACCTTAAACTAGTACATATTCAAATACTTATCTTCTGTTAGCGTGGCTAATACTGGTTTTTGAAAGTGTTATACTAGAGTGAATCAATATTTAATTGTGCTTCGACTATGTCTTGTTTTTGTTTTCGTTTTAAAAACTGTTTTGTTATAGGATAAACCATTGGTGTCGCCCATGGATATCTAGAACATCAGAGGCGCTACAAGTGCGTTATCGGCCTTTTGGGGTTTAGGAATTTTAGGATTGTTGGGGATTCAGGGATTGGGGAGATTGAGGAAAGGGGTAATTGGGTCTTCGGTAACCTCATTCACACGACAAAACACAACGTAAGCGTTGCTTCACTTCGGTGTTTCGATTATTCCAAGAATTGGTGCCTTTTGAGAAGATTATCCGCAAAATAAATTGAACTGTTCTCATCTGGGATTCGCTGGGGAAAAGTTTCCAGTATATGTTGCGGAACATCAATCTCCAGCGAATAGAGCCCTCCATGCAGCGACCAGGATAAAAGCCAAAGAAATGAACTATAAGTACGTTTGGATCAGAAACGGCAAAATCTTCGTAAGGAAAACTGAAGGTTCCGATTATATATTAATAAGGAGTGTGAATGGCTTGGAAAAAATAATATAATATATTATCATCTGTTTGTTATTATCTGTTAGTTATTTTATAATTTAATTTAATTGTTTTTTTTTCTTAGTTTTGTGTATCCCAAGATTTTGCTTGACTAAGTGATACTAAATTAAAAATTCAATAACTTGAATGTTTATTACCAAAACTGTAGAGGTCTTCGAACTAAGACAAATACTTTTTACGTAAATCTTTGTTGTATGAGTTATGATGTAGTAGTACTGACGGAAACTTGGCTAAATAGCAATATACTAAGCAGCGAACTGTTTGATGATAGATATATGGTGTACAGGAGGGATAGGGAGGCGAGGGGTTTCAACTGTAACAAGGAGGGAGGTGGAGTACTAATAGCCGTTTTGAAAAAACTCAACTCTCAATCTAATCTGGAATGGCAGAGTGAATGTGAGGATCTCTGGGTCACCATTGACGTTTCTGCTACGCGTAGTACACACCAAATACTTATGGGTGTGGTCTACCTTCCGCCGCCCGTATGCCTATTGGCAGTTGAGCACTTCATTGAGAATTGTAATAAAATTTTCGAAAGAAAAAACAATTTTTCAGTGTGCATATTTGGGGATTTCAACTTAAGCAGAATCGATTGGAATCCAGAAGCTGCCACGGGAAGGAATTCAAATATTTGCCAGCAGCTAATGGAATTCATACACGTAAATCAACTCGTCCAACACAACAATATAAAGAACTGTTCAGGGCGTATTTTGGATTTGATCCTTTCTACAATACCTTCGTGTTCGGTGAGTAAATCGAGCTTGGCATTGATCGTCCCGGATAAATTGCATCCTCCTCTTGATATAAACATATCGTTGGTAGGAGACTCTTATCTGCCATATAATAAATTAAACCTTAAATTGAATTTCTATAGGGCCAACTATAACCAAATTAAATCGTACTTAAATGAACAGGACTGGCACCAAAACTTTGTAAGCAAAAAAGACGTGAATGATATGGTCCAAGTTTTTTACAATGTCTTAAACCACGCAATTGAGAAATTTGTTCCAAAATGTAAGTCTACTACTAACCGCTATCCACCCTGGTTCGACAAAGCGATGATACATTCACTTAGGGAAAAAAATAAGTTAAGACTACGATTCAAAAAATATAAAAATCCAAGAGACAAAATCGAGTTATCATTGATAACTAAACGCTGTGAAAGTATGGCTAAACACTTGTACCAAAAGTACATGGAGAATTTGGAATTGGGAATAAAAAAGAACCCAAAACTTTTTTGGTCTCATGTTAAAGCAAAACGCGGAGGGACTAGTACTTACCCCCTAACTATGACGGATGGAATGATCACATCGTCAAATGGCCCAGTTATCTGCAATCTCTTTGCTCAGTATTTTTCATCTGTTTACACTTCTGACAGTGACTCGGTTTACGACCACTCTGATTCTGATTACCTGCGCTCATTACATAACAGTCAATGCCTAACAATCCCGGAAATAGATAGCGATGATATACTGAGGAAACTGAAAACCTTAAACATCAGTAAAGGAACCGGCCCTGACGGCATCCCCCCATTTTTTATTGTGGAATGTGCGTCGGCACTTGCCGTTCCCTTGACTGATTTATAACACCTCCTTATGTACAGGAATTTTCCCAGCTGAGTGGAAGAGAGCCAAAGTGGTGCCGGTATTTAAATCAAACAAAAAAGAAAGCATTTCCAACTACAGACCCATCTCGCTTCTATCAATTTTTGCTAAGGTCTTTGAATCCATGATATGTTGTCATGTTCAGCGCCACTTTGGCCTTTATATTAGCGACCACCAACACGGCTTTGTTGCTTCCAGGTCCACAACAACAAACTTGTTGGCTTTTACAGATCTCTTGGTGCGATGTATAGACTCTAACAAGCAGTGTGATGTTATATACACCGATTTTAGTAAAGCGTTCGACAGGATCTCACATGCATATTGATACATAAGCTGTCGTTGTATGGTATTACCGGATATTTGTTGAAATGGCTTGAATCGTATCTAACTGAACGTGAATTCTATGTTGTTGTTAATGGTTTCCGTTCCGAGACTTTCCCTATAGCATCCGGAGCTCCTCAGGGTTCCCATCTAGCCCCAGTACTATTTAATATTTTCATTAACGATCTCCCCCATTGCCTTCAGTATTCGACTTGTTTTCTTTACGCTGACGATTTAAAATTTGCGAGATGTATCGAATCATCGCTCGATATTAGGCTCCTACAGGAGGATCTGAACAAGTTATATGAATGGTGTACTTGCAATCGGATGGAGCTAAATATTAAAAAGTGCTTTTACATCAGTTTTTCCAGAAAGAAGATTCTTATACGCTCAGAATACATAGTGGATAATAAGGAGATTAATGGGGTGGAAAGCGCCAGAGATCTGGGAGTCCTGTTCGATAATAAACTGACATTTATTCCTCACATCGAAAAAATTACAACAAAGGCTTCAAAAATGTTAGGGTTTGTTATAAGAAATACGACGAGTTTTAAACAGAGTCGCACTAAAATAATGCTGTACAATAGTTTGGTTCGGAGTATCTTGGAGTACTGCAGCGTGGTTTGGAGGCCACACTACGCTGCACATATGTTGCGCTTAGAAAGAGTCCAAAAGCGTTTCCTATGGCATCTAGCATTTTCAAAAGGCAAAGCTAAATGCCTTCCCTCATACAACTCCCGATTGCGATGTTTCGGGATGCTACCACTGTCAACCAGAGCGAAAGTTACAGACGCTATTTTTGTGTATAAATTAATCAGGAATAAAACTAATTGCCCCATATTACTTAGCTCATTTGGATTTCGTGCGCCTTCCAGATACCCACGTGGTCACATAACACCCCTCTGTCCTCCACTACGCAGAACAGTTCTTGGTGCAAACTCAACCATTACCAGATTAGCGAACGTCATAAACAATTGCAGTGACGTGATAGATATGCACCACGACAGCCTTGGTAGTTTTCGTAAATCAATTATTACATTATGCTCCCAGGGTCGCTTATAATAATAATAATTATTTAATAATAATACAATTTTATATCAATAATTTAATGATATCTAAAATAATCGCAACTATTCTCAATTAAGTGTTCAATTGTTTCAGTCAATTAGTATTCAATTGTTTCAGGTGCCTAATTACGTTAGGTACCCTTGTCTTGGTTGTAATCCTACACATATCGACTCTAATGAATTTCAAATTTAATTTAATCCCATAATTAATTGAATTAATCGATCGCAACTTTTATGTTATGTTGCTTGATCGTGTTCGAATGTTATAATTTTTTTTAATGTAACTTATTCTAACCGTTTTATGTGCATGTTGTGTTAGCCAGTAAGTAGTTGTTACACTTACCAAAGTATTATTTGTAATGATGTAATGAATGTATGAGTGTAAATAACTGTTGGTTAACCTAATAAATAAATAAATAAAAATAAATAAATTATCTGAACTAGCTAGCAGTAAAACAATACGGATCATGTAATATTATATAAATATCATAATTTATTAGAGATTCTACAAATTAATCCTTAAAAATAATTATAAATAATTTTATGATCATTAATTTGAAATCTTAGCCTAACCAGTTTTACAATTTATGAAACTAATACGAAAATTGTTTTGTTTTCCGATCCAAATAAGGACATACATACTAATACATAGCAAACATCGATTCATATCTTATTGTCATAAATAGATTGATTGTAATAAAATATTTTTACATCTTGCACTTATCTCGAGGAATTTCCCAAACTTTTCACGTGTGTGAGTGTTTTTCCAAATGG